AATCCACTTTCTCAGTCACACTAGCCGCATTTCATGTGCTCAAGGACCACATGTGGCCAGTGGCTACTGTATTGGACAGAGCAGGTACAGGGCATTTTCATCACCCCAGAACGTTCTGTTGGACCAAGCTGACCTGCACGCTTTGCCCCCGTCTGACTTCTCTGTCTTTTTTCTCACCCCTCTCCCCATGTCTCATGTGGCTTCAGCCACCCAGGTCTGCTTGCTGTTCAGGCACCACGGCGGGCATGTTCCTGCCCCAGGGCCTTTGTACTTGCTGTTCCGCTGCCTGGAGAGCCTCTCCCCCCAGGATATTTGCAGTGCTCAGTCCTTCACTTCATTCCAGTCTTTCTTCAAATGTCACCTTCCAAGTGAGAACTGCCCTGACCACCCTATTAAATATATGAACCTCCTGCACGTTCTCACTGTATTTTTCAGAGGGTTGATTGCCAACTGACACACTATGTATTTTATTTAAAACCGAACCTGTTGCAGTCAAGTTGACTCTGACTCATAACGACCCTGTAGAACAGAGCAGAACTGCCCCATAGGGCTTCCAAGGCTGTAATCTTTACAGATACAGACTGCCACGTCTTTCTCCCCAGGAGCAGCTGGTGAATTCGAACCACTGGCCTTTCGGTTAGCAGCTGAACGCTTTAACCACTGCACCACTAGAGCTACTTAAAACCAGTTACCATCAAGTCAGCTCCAACTCATGGCGACCCCATGTGTGTCAGAGTAGAACTGTGCTCCGTAGGGTTTTTAAAAAAATATAATTTTATTTATTTTGTTGTTGTTGAGAATATACACAGCAACATATACAACAAATCAACAGCTTATACCTGTAGCATTTAGTGACACTGATTACCTTCTTCAAGGGGTGTAACCATTCTTTCCCCTTTTTCTGAGTTGTTTCTCCCCCATTAACATAAACTCACTGTCCCCTAAAGTTCCTGTCTTATCTTCCCAGTTGTTGTCAATTTGGTCCTATATATCTGTTGCCGTCGGGTTGATTCCAACTCATAACCACCCATATAGGTAGTTATTAAAAGAGCGTAACTCCATAGGTCTTTAATAGCTGATTTTTCGGGTGTAGATCACCAGGCCTTTCTTCCAAGGCCCCTCTGGGTGGATTTAAACTTCCAGCCTTTCGGTTATTGGCCAAACATGTTAAGCATTTGCACCACATACCTGCAGGTAATTCTGGCCAGGAGGCTGTCCTAGGACAAGTGTGGCAGTCAGAGAAACCATTTGACAACAATAAGGACGGACACATGTAATGTGTGCGTCCGTGTGTTCATTCATGCCGGCCTGTGGGCATGTATGTGAGGATGTCTGTGTGTCTTGATCTATGTGTGTGTGTCTTTACTTGGCTCTGTGCAGAGCAGTTTTGCGGGAACAGAATGAAGGCTGCTTTTCACACCCATTTCCCGGATAACGAAGCTGAGGAAAGAAGCTGGAACTCAGGTCTGTTTTACTCCAAGGCTCCTAGCATCGCTGCCCTCACCTGGGTCCCGGTCCCACAGCCTAAGGCCCCCCTACCCTACTTCAATCCTTTACTCTCCCTCCTCAGAGGCTGAACCACTCAGGCGGGAACAAGGGAGCCCCCAGACTCCAGGAAATATGGCCAGATAGTAGAACAGCTTGGAGGGAAGAGTAGGGGTTCCAAAGGCAGTGGAATACCCTCCTCCTCCTCACCTCATAACTTCATAGGGGTTCTCAACGCAGGCGAGCCGCGGTGTCCTCTGTACCCACCAGGGGGCGCTCCAGGACGGCTGGTAAAAGAAGCGCCGCCGACGACGTTGATTCAGCGTTTTAAGGCTCCAAAGCTCCACAGGAGTGGGAACGCCAGACTGCTGGAAAGTAGACTTTGCTGTAGGGCAGCGGTTCTCCAACGAGGTCCAATGACCAGTAACATCAGCATCACTTGGGAACCTTCTAGAAATACAGATTATCCAGCCCACCCCAGACCTACAGAATCAGAAACTCTGTGGTTGGGGCTGGACAATCTGTGTTTTAAAAAGCCCTCTAGGCGATTCTCTGAGACAGGACATCAGAGATGATGTGGGGTCTGCTTATCTCTAGGACCCCTAGTGTAGCAGTTCTCAACCCAGCTGCATATTGGGGTCTCGCTGGACGCTGCTGGGGGTGGGGAGGCAGCCGATGGTTGTGTCCACTTGGAAGTGGGACAAACTGAGACTCAGTTTTGCCAAAGTCTCAGGGCTACTCAGAAGGGGCGAGTGTGTGAAGTGTATTCCTGCTAGAATATGTATGTCTCTGACTGGTGTCTGAGTTTGTGTGATCACGTGAGTGAATATATCTAAGTGTGTAACAGTGTCTAGCAGTGTGTGTGTGTGTGTGTGTGTCCTGTGAGTGGGTATCCCATTGCCGTCTAGTTGATTGTGACTCCTAGCGACCCTACAGGACAGAGTAGAACTGCCCCATAGGGTTTCCGTGGCTGTAGTCTTTACGGAAGCAGACTGCCACATCTTTCTCGCTCGGAGGGGCTGGTGGGTTCTAACGCTGACGTTTCAGTTAGCAGCTGAGTACTTAACCCCTGTGCTACCAGGGCTCCTTGTGAGTAGGTATAAACGTTGGAACGTATTTAAGTACAGGGGTGTAGGAACGGGCAAGTCTGTGATGTGTGGGTGTGGGAGTTTGCCGTGTGGAGATAAAAGCCAGCCTGAGTATGTGTGCCCGTGTAAGTGAGCACTGTGTGTGTGTCCGTATATCTTTTTGTGTGGGGTTAACAAAATACGCCTGTGCTTGCGAGTACGCCTGCTAGTGTGTGCCAAATTCAGGGGCGTGCCTGTGTCTCTGTGTGCTTGTATCTAGGCTTGCTTGTGTGTGAATGTCTGTGTGTGCATGTGAGCACATGCCTGTGCTGAGGCATGCCTGTATGTTGTGTGCATGAGTCTGTGTGTTGCAGTGAGGAAGAGTATGAGCTGGTCCCTCGTAGGGCACCGTCCCAGGCTTGTCAAGGGCAGCTGACGTTCATGACGTCCACACAGCTTCATGCTAATCCATCTTGCCCTCATTGTTCGGGGTCCACACTCCTCTCCCTCCCCAAGCCCCCATGAGTCATCCTAGGAAAAGCAGACACTCAGACTCAGCTGGCTTCAAGCAGACTTTATTGAATAAAAAAAGACAGTATCGCTCCTTATCAGCCCTGCGTTTTCTCCCATCTCTGAGTCTCTCCCAGTGTCTCTCCTGTAGTCTCTGCTGCTCCCGTGTCCTCTCACCTTCCAGGTCCCCAGAGACCAGGCCCCCTTGGTTCGACTGTTCTCCAAGGTGGGCAGCAGAGAAGGACAGCCTCCCCTCTTCCAACCTCCTCAGCTGGCTCCAGAGCCATCTCCCTACCTGGCCTGGCTACACCTACCCCCACCCCCCACAATGCCTGGAGCTCAGTCCACCCCTCCAGGTGCCTCGTCCTTTCTTGAAAACCCCACCAGGCCTCTAAGCCACCTGGTGGCCAGCTGTGGGCCACACAGACCAGGTGCCCACCACCAAGCACAAAGCAGCTCTAGACAGCAACACATCACATCACACAGCAAGCCACAGCATCAGTAACCATTTCCTTTTTGAAAACAGAGCAGGGAAAAAGAAAAAGGGGGGAAAAAACCCAGCCAAACAAACAGTTGCCATCGAGTTGACTCTGAGTCATGTGCATCAGAGCAGAACTGTGCTCCATAGGTGTTTCAGTGGCTGATTTTTCGGAAGCAGATTGCCAGGCCTATCTTCCGAGGCGCCTCTGGATAGGTTTGAACTGCCGACCTTTGGGTTAGTAGTCGGGCGTTTAACCATTTGTGCCACCCAGGGGCTCCTGGATGAACAGAAAGAGGGGGATATAATTCTTGAGGTTTCAAGGGAAAAGAAAAAAAAAAAAATCCAGGCGAGACCTGCAGCCACAATTAGGAGGGCAGAGCTGGCCTTCTGCCTCCCTCCACCACCTCTTCCCCAGTGAGGCTCCTTTGTGGCCGTTCGCTGTTTTTCACTGGTTGAGTGGGGAGGGCACAAGGTAATACAGAGATGCCCCCCAGTGTCCTCCCAGCCTCACAGGACCTCAACTCCCCAATTTCTCCCTAACGATAAGTATTAGTCACACCACACGGCGCCACACCCCCATTATCAACGTCAGCACGCTCCCCCACGACCCCCCTTTTGGGCCTGTTCCTACGGCAATGACTTTCCCACACGTCCAGTGAGTGTCAAGTGTGCAGGCTGCCCTGGGTGAAGCTTATGGGACTAGATCAAAATAGATTCCTGGGCCACACCAGCAAATCCACATCTGTGGGGTGAAGAGCCCAGGAATCTGCATTTTGAACTTCTTCCTGGGCTGATTTTTACGCACACCCATGCCTGACAACCTCACAGCCAAGGACAGGTTGAAGGGCATAAACCGTGGGCCCTATGCCCTCCAAACCAGCAGAGCCCAGGGGAGCAAAGTAATGACGGTCATTACCATTGAGGACGAAGAGTGGGGCAGACTGTGAGGGTGTGTCACCAAATAGCCCTGGAGCATTCTTCAGTCGTCAAGTCCAAAGCCAAGACATAAGTTTTGTTTTTTTTTAAAATGTTTTCACTTGCAGGTCAGCTTGAGCACTCTTTTGAAGCTCAAGGAGACAGTAAATGCCAATTGTGCAGCGAAAGGGGAAAAGACATGAATTTCACCCCTGTCTCTCTCCCTTTTTTAAAATGAGCACCTAGGGAATTAAAAGTATGTTTGCTGCAACCCCGCTGTATCGATTTTTCTCATTACATTCCTTGAGCTGCTATAAGGAGTGGGTATAAAAAAATTAATACATGGGAGACAAAATTTTAACAGGAAAAGGAAGAGGGTTGTCAGGTGGAAATGTCTTGCCCTTTGTCTGTCTCAGATTTTCAGGGGCAGAGGCAGAGAATGAAACCATCTCAGTCCAGGTCTGGCAGGGGAGGGACGTGCCCAAGTGGCAGATAATGCAGCAAGTGGCAAGGGGCACTCCACATGGCTCCTGCTCTTGCCCTCACAGCTGGTCTTCTTGCTCTCCCTGCTCCGCTTCTGCTCTGCCCTCGGCCCTCAGCACCCTGAGGCTCCTGCCCTCGCCTGCCCTGGGGACTCTTTTGGGTAGGGATGGCAGCCTGGGGGTGTGCCAGAAGGCTCTCTGGCGCTTGCGAAACCATGAAAAACGTCCAGGGGTCTGGAACCTCACTGTCTTGACCTGTTTCCGGGCCCTGGCTCCTGCGGTTGCCCCTGGGGCCCCCTGGATATCTGGGGCCTCTGCCCTCTGGTCAGCTGCAGCCTCTGCCACCTGGTCAGCTGCGACCTCTGCCTCCTGGTCAGCTGCGACCTCTGCCCCCTGGTCACCTTCGACCTCTGCCCTCTGATCACCCAGGATGCCTGCCCCCTGGTCACCGGGGACCTCTGCCCTCTGATCAGCTGCGACCTCTGCCCTCTGGTCACCCAGGACGCCCGCCCCCTGTTCACTGGGGACCTCTGCCCCCTGGCCAACTGGGATCTCTGCCCTCTGGTCAGCTATGGCCTCTGCCACCTGGTCACCCAGCACCTCTGCCCCCTGAGCTATGGATGCTGCCTCCTCCCTCCTGCGTCGCCTCAGCGAGCCCCAGTTGATCCTGGGCCGCCACCGTCGTGGGCGAGTCCCGGCTCCCCGCCCATCTCCTGTGTTTCCCACGTTCTCCCCCTGGCTGGCGCTGCCTGGCCCTGATACCCTGTCACTCTCCAGCCTGGACACAGCCTGCCGGGTGTCGCCCACCCCCGGGAAGGACCTCGGCGCCCAGCTCTTCACCCTGCGCTTCAGCTTCCCCCAGGACACCTGGCTGGCATACTCGCGCCACCTGTCGGCCTTGGAGAGCTGGGGCGGGTCGTCCTCGACCACCGGCACGGGCAGCGCCACCCGGCGGCGGGCAGGGGCCGCGCTGGGCTTCTTCTCCCCGCGCCGCAGGAAGGCCTCCACCAGCTCCTCGTCGTCCCCGCTCTCCTGGTCGCTTCCCAGGAACTTGCTGCCCAGGTAACTGACCGGCATTTTTCGAACCCTCCGGGCCCGGCCCGAGCCGTGGTCGCCCTTGTCCCTGGAGGTCTCGAAGTCGCTGAACTCGCTGTCACTGTCGTTGCTGCTGTCATACGTGCCCACGACCAGCCGCGGCGGCGGCGTCACCATCTGCTGGATTCTCCTTTGCACTCGGGGCGCCTTGGGCTTTTTGGGGGGCTGGGGCGGGTGCGGGGTGCTCTTCTCGATGATGCGGGCCACATCCTCCAGGGTGCGGCCCTCTTCCTCCAGAAACTGGGTCAGCCGCTCGCGAAATTCCGCCTCCTTGGTCGCAGGCTTGGAGATGACCCTCCAGACGCCCCCCGCCAGCCGGACCTCTCGGGGGATGAGTAGATAGTCGACGTCCTCCCCAATCTGCAGCATCCCCACCGTAGAGTCCTCCTCCCTGCGGAATACCTTGCCGATCTTCTTAAAGGTCCCCACGGGCTTCAAGGCTTCCACGAGGACGTCCAAGTCCACATCTTTGCAGACGTCGGGGACGCTCCATAGGATTAGACAGTCAGGGGACGGCAGGAAGCCCCAGGGGAACCAGCCCCCGACGTGGCTTTTCTCGAGCGTCTTTAAGATCTCCAGGGTGAAATCCGGGATGTGAGGCCAAAGACCCCCAACGTCACGTAGTCCCTAGTCTGAGGTGGGGAGTCCCCACAATGCTGCCCGGAGGGTCTCACCTCCCCAGCGAGGGACGAGCCACCGACGAGCCACCACCTCCCACTTTCTCTGCCTGCAACCAGGCTGGCCTTGACCAAGTTCTGCTCCCCTCAAAGGCTGGTGGGAATGAAGTCCCAAGACGCTTACGTGAGCTGGCGGGGAGTCTGTCCCGAGGCTCCAAGCCCGCGCCAAGCTGGAAAACTGCTCCAAGTTGGGTGCACAGTGGTTCGTCTTGTCCCAGGCACCAAGGGGGCAGCTGGAACTTGCGAGACGACTTCCCAGACAAAGACGGCTCAGCGGTGGCTATTCAATATGGCCGAGGGGCTGGGAGACTGCGGCCCGGCCCCCCCGGAGGGTCTCCCGCCCCCAGGCAGGCTGCCACCCCTCCAAGGCTGACCTTGACGCGGCGCGCGCCCAGTGCGGTGGAGCGCACAGGCAGGAAGTTCCTCCTCGCCCTCCCCTGGTGAGGCCCACCTTCCCCCTTCTCAGTTTACACTCCCTGACACGGGAAGACTGACAGGGGGGCTGTCCACTCCCTTCAGGGCGGCCTCTCTCCCCTCCCCCACAGGGGTGTGGCCGCGCCCCAGGCCTAGCTGGGGCCACTCGTTTCCAAGTGAAAAGAGCGCGGAGGCCCACGTCAGCACCTTTCCCAAAAGGCAGCCAGTTCCCAAACTTGCCTTTGTAGATATACCAGTTCCAGCCAAGCACCCCACCGCCCTCCTGAGGCGGGTGTGCTAATGAGGCAGCCCCTTCGAAGGTCACTGACGCTGTATATTAACATTTTAAACGCACGTGAATCGTGATACCAGCAATTCCTACCCGTATACCCATTTATACCTCTGGGTAGAACAATCGATGGTTGTTGTTAGCTGCCATAGAGTGGGCCAGATTCACGGCGACCTCACGCACGACCGAATGAAACGCTGCCCGGTCGTGCACCATCGCCATGATCCGTTGCAGATCGGACTGCTGTGATCCACAGGGTTTTCACTGGCTGATTTTCAGAAGTGGATCGACAGGCCTTTCTTCTTAGCCCATCTTGGTGTGAATGTTTAAACCTGTTCAGCATCATAACAACACGCATGCCTCCACTGACGGATGGGTGGTGGTGGTATTATTGGTTACCATTCAGTCGATTCTGACTCATGGCAACCCCATGTGTGCAGAGTAGAACTGTGCTCCATAGGATTTTCAAGGCTGTGAGCTTTTAGAAGCAGATCTCCAGGCTTTTTGTTCTCTGGGTGAGTTTGAACCACCAACCTTTAGGTTAACAGTGGAGCACAAACCATTTGTGCCACCCAGGGACGGTTTTTCCTGTATACTGTTGTTTTTAGGTGCTGTCGAGTTGGTTCCGACTTACAGTGACCTTATTACGACAGCATGAAACCCTGCCAGGTCCTGCTCCATCCTCACAACCATTGCTGTATTTGAGACCTGCATACAGTGAGAGCTGTTAACTTGACGGGATTGCTTTGTTTTTCCAGGTCTCGCAAGATTTCTGCCTTTGACGGGTGCTGTCTTACCACTTTCTATCCCTTGTTTTAGTGGAAAATATTCGAGTTTTCCTTCTCTGACAGGTTTCCGCCTTGCACGGTTTCCAGCTTTCACAGGGTTTACTTTACTATATACTAGGCACCATTTTGCAGGAGAAAGATGTGGCAGTCTGCTTCCATAAAGATTTACAGGCTGGGAAGCCCTGTGGAGCAGTTCTACTCTGTCGCATAGGGTCGCTATAAGTCAGAATTGACTTGATGGCAGTGGGCTGGGTTTGGTTCTTTTAGGTACCATTCTGAGTGCTTTCTATGAATTACTTCATTAGATCCTCACTATAGCAATATGAGACAGGTAATGCGATTATCATTCCTATTTTACAGCTAAGGAAACTGAGGCCCAAAGAAATAAAATCACCTGTGTGAGGTCATACAGACAGGAAGCAATCGAGGCTTGCAGTCTAACTTTTTTTTTTTATTTAGAAAATTTTTTTTTAATTGTACTTCAGGTGAAGGCTTACAGAACAAATAGTTTCTCATGAAACAGTAGTACACATATTGTTTTATGACATTGGTTAACAACCCCACAACATGTCAACCCTCTCCCTTCTCGACCTTTTTTTTTTTTGGTAAAAATATACGTAGGCAAAGATACGCCATTTCAACAACTTCTGCATGCACAGTTCAGTGACATCGACTACGCTCTTCCAGTTGTGCTGCTATTCTCACTTTAGATGAAGGCTTACAGAACAGAATAGTTTCTCATTTAACAGTTAGTACACATGTTGCCCTATGACAATGGTTCACAACCTCACAACACATCAACACTATCCTTACTCAACCTTGGGTTCCCTATCACCAGCTTTCCTGTCCCCTTCTGCCTTCTGGCCCTTGTCCCTGGGCTGCTGTGCCTCATTAGTCCCATTTGGTTTTATGGGGCTGTCCACTCCCCGGCTGAACGGTGAACCTCGGAAATGACTTCACCACTGAGCTAAAAGGGTGTCTGGGGGCCATACTCTCAGGGTTTCTCCAGTCTCCTTTAGGCCAGTAAATCTGGTCTTTTTTTTTTTTGTGAGTTAGAATTTTGTTCTACATCCTTCTCCAGCTCTGTCCAGAACCGTCTGTTGCGATCCTGGTCAGAGCAGTGAGTGGTGGTAGCTGGACACCATCTAGCTGTGAATAGTCTGACTTTTTGTGTGTAAACCAAACGGTCGAGATGTGCACCTGTGCTAGTCCCATGTATAAAACCAAAAAACCAAACAAACCCATTGCCGTCGAGTCAATTCCAACTCATAGCGACCCTATAGGACAGAGTAGAACTGCCCCATAGGGTTTCCAAAGAGCGGATAGTGGATTTGAACTGCCAACCTTTTGGTTAGCAGCTGTAGCTCTTAACTACTGTGCCACCAGGGAGCACAGCCTAAAGTGCTTGTTTCTGGGGAGAGGGCCTGCGAGCCCCTGAGGTGAGAGATGCGCGTATTTTCACTCCACACCCTTTGGCATTGCTTGAATTTTCAGCAACCAAAAATGTTAACTGAAATAAATGAAATAAAAGTGAAGGTTCTCAGGCCTCACCGCAGACATACTGGGTCAGGATGCCTGCGGCGTAGAGTCAGCATTTTGCAAAGCTTCCCAGGTAATTCCGAGGCAACAGGCTCAGCAATGAAAGCCCAACAACATCATCAACATCAATCGCTTTAGGAAATTAATAACAGTTAACTTGCATTGAGCGTTTCCTTGGGTCCAGACATCGTGAACGGACTGAATGGACCTGTTGTTGTGAATCCTCAGAGCTACACAGCAAGGCGGATGCCCTCACATCATCTTCTTCTTGATGGGGAAACTAACTGGAGGGCCTGATATTTGAACCAGATCTTAAGTGCTAGAGTCATAAGCCCAGGCAGGCTCTACAGAAATCAGCGGTTGGTCAGGGTTTCAAGACACAGCTGAGTCCCTCCTCCCAGCTTAAAGTGCTGGGCGGTTTAACCCCTCGAGAGCCGTAGCATGTTGAGCCACCCTTATTTCTTGTTGGATCCCTGCAAATGCCTCCTCACTGGGCTCCCAGCTTCCCCCTTGCTGCCTGCAATCCACCCTCAACCCAGCAGCTAGTGGCCGACGAGTCAATTCCAACTCATGGTGACCCCATGTGTGCAGAGTAGAACTGCTCCATAGAGTTTTCAAGGCTGTGACCTTTTGGAAGCAGATCACCAGGCTGGTCTCCTGAGGGGCAGCAGGGTGGTTTCGAACTGCCAACTTTTTGGCTAGTAGTCGAGTGCTTAACTGTTTGTGCCACTCAGGGACTCCTCCAGCAGCTGATTGTTGTTAGGTGCCATTGACTCGTTCTGAATCATAGCAACGGGATATGCAACAGAATGAAACCCTGCCCGGTCCTGCGCCATCCTCACAATTGTTGCTGTGTTTGAGTCCATTGTTGCGGCCACTGTGTCAATCCATCTCCCTTGAGGGTTTTCTTCTTTTTCGCTGACCCCCTACTTTACCAAGCATGATGTCCTCCTCCAGGGACTGGTCCCTCCTGCTAACATGTCCAAAGTGAGTGAGACGTAGTCTCGCCATCCTCGCTTCTAAGGAGCATTCTGGCTGTACTTCTTCCACGACAGATTTGTTCATTCTTCTGGCAGCCCATGGTGTATTCAATATTCTTCAGCAACACCATAATTCGAAGGCATCAATTCTTCCTCAGTCTTCCTTATTCATTGCCCAACTTTCACATGCATATTAAGTGATTGAAAATTCCACAGCTTAGGTCAGGTGCCTTGGTAGTGTAGTGGTTAAAGTGATCAACTGCTAACTGTAAAGGTCAGCGGTTTGAAACCACCAGGGGCTCTGAGGGAGAAAGATGTGGCAATCTGCTTCCGTAGAGACTTACAGCCTCGGAAAACCTTATGGGGTTGCTATGAGTCATAATTGATTCAATAGCAGTGGGTTTGGTTTTTGGTGGGTCAGGTGCACCTTATTCCTCAGAGTGACATGTTTGCTTTTGAACACCTTAAAGAGGTCTTTTGCACCAGATTTGCTCAGTGCAATTCAAGGTTTGATTTCCTGACTGCTTGTCTTAGGCTGGGTTCTCTGTAAAACATGGAGAATCATGGCCCAACCACGTTGACGCACAATCTTAACTATCACACTGCTGTTTCCATGGGCATTGGTTATGGATCCAAGTAAAATGAAATCCTGGACAACTTCAGTATTTTCTCCTTTTATCAG